CATATACGGTGATTATTGCAACGATGGAGACTACAGAATCAAAAGGGCGATCGTAATCTAGAACATAATTGACGTACATTTTTTAGATATTAATTAAAATAAGTGTTTTGTCTCCTACACGGCTAGGCTATACCCGAGGCTATACCAGACATAGTGTATGTGCCGCTCTATAATGATAGTGTATTCGTTGCCTCAGCTCTGATTTTTGAGGGTATGAATTTTCGCGAATTGTGAGGTTAGGTATGTATTGTTTTTTGTAAGTGAAGTCTCAGCAAGATTCAAAAAGTGTGCTAATTTCAAACCCAAATTATAAATATGACCGAATCTGATGTCGAATTAGAAAAACCGTCCCATACGGCACCACTTGAAAATGCTTGGCAAATGAAACTACCCAAATTTAAAGCGGAACACAACCCACATGGACTACTGGAAGAAAGTTCATTTGCCACCCTATTTCCACAATATAGAGAGCAGTACTTACGACAAATCTGGCCGCTTGTTGAAAAAACACTAGGCGAACATTTCATTAAAGCCGAATTGGACGTAGTCGAAGGCAGTATGACGGTAAGGACGACACGAAAGACTTGGGATCCGTATATCATTATTAAAGCCAGGGATATGATTAAATTAATGTCCCGTAGTGTTCCGTTTGAGCAGGCCAAACGAGTCCTTGAAGACGACGTTGGTTGCGATATTATCAAAATTGGTAAAATAACGACAAACAAGGATAAATTTATTAAGCGCAGACTGCGTTTAATCGGTCCTAACGGCTGTACATTAAAGTCAATTGAACTTCTAACAAACTGCTATGTCTTGGTCCAGGGGCAGACGGTTTCTGCTTTGGGACCGTATAAAGGTCTGCAACAAGTTAGAAAGATCGTTGAAGACACTATGAAGAACGTACATCCCATATACAACATTAAAGCGTTAATGATCAAAAGAGAACTGGCCAAAGATCCGAAGTTAAAGAATGAAAATTGGGAGCGGTTTTTACCTAAATTTGTCAATCAAAATATCAGCAAGCGTAAACAGCCGAAGAAGAAACGAGAAAAAGGACCGTATACACCGTTTCCGCCTCGTCAAATGGAAAGCAAGGTAAAAATGGTACTAATTGAATTAAACGTTTATTTAACAGAATTATTTCATTGTAGATTGATAAAATGCTGGAAAGTGGTGAATATTTCTTGAGCGCCCAACAGAGAAGAATAAAGCAACAGAAGGCAATGACTGAGAAGCAAATGATTGCTACGAAACTTAGGGAAGAGAAAAGAAATCAAGCTTTTGTACCTCCTAAGGAACAGTCTACGACCAAAGCTTCTGCATCCGATACAAGCGTAAATTTAGAAAAATTAAAAGCTAAAATTAAGAAGGCTCAGAAAGGGAAGCTGAATTTTTAAGTGTGCTAGATTCGCAACTAAAATTGTTTATGTTATTGTTATGATAACAATTTTGTGTATATACCTATTTTTCTAAAACCTATGTAACACTGGTAACACACTACTACACTTCATTTGTGTACCCATAGCGCAAATATTTGTAAATTTTGAAAAAATAAAAATTAATAAAATGCATTATTTTTTATGATGACACAAAGTCCTATATTTGTTAACAGAAAACCCCTAGAACAATCGGTACTAATAAAAAAGAATAAATTAGAATAAAAAATTTCATAAAAAGTCAAGGCCCCCAAACAAGTAAATTTAAAAAAGTGTCAATTTTGAGAAGAGGAATTATGGTATCACAGTATATCCACTTGCTAGTATACCAATTTACAAAGCATGTCTGATGCATGTACATAACACATCGAAAACGTATACACTGTGTCCATTTTTCGAGTGCCACTATGGGAATCTCGCTTATCTTAAGAGATAGAAACTTGATTAAATTAGGGCATAGTTGCGAATTTTCGTGCTGAATAATAATCTAAAAAGAAATTTATAATATCTTCAATAGTTTTGAAAATA